GTATTTCATTCTCTGAGGTCTTTCTCCTCAATTACAATGTCTTGTAGGGCAATTCTTTCAACACCTTCACCATATCGCCTTGCATGCTTGTAAGTCATTGATTTGAAAAAGTTAAAAAAAAGACAAAAAGAAAGAAAAAATATACACACACATACACCTGGTAAGTTTTGCAATTTCTGTGATGTGATGCATTCCAAAGGCTCAAGCTATGAAATGAATTACTAAATTTGAAGATCAGTTACTAACTAATAATAAATAGCATTTACTGAGCACTTACTATTTGCCAAGCAAGGGTATATTATCTTGTACATTCTATACAACAATCCTGTAAGGCAGGTGATACTATTATTATTTCCATTCTACAGGTAAGTAACCTGTGTGGGCACAAATACCCACAGTCAATATAAAGCAGAGCCAGCCAGTCATGGTGGTACACACCTGCAATCCCAGGGTCTTGGGAGGCTGAGACAGGAGGATTGCAAGTTCAAAGCCAGCCACAGCAACTTAGCAAGGCAGTAAGCAACTTGGTGAGACCCTGTCTCAAAAAATGAGGGCTGGGGCTGTAGCTCATTTGTAAGTGTGTAGCTCTCACTCTTGCCTAGCATATGTGAGACCCTGGGTTTGATCCTCAGCACCACATAAAAATAAATAAATAAAATAAAAGTAGTGTGTCCATCTACAATTAATTTTTAAAAAATTAATAATATAAATAAATAATGAAGTGGGCTAGGGATGTGGCTCAGTAGTTAATCGCCCCTGGGTTCAATCCTGGAACCAAAAAAAAAAAAGGAGCCAACATCTGAACTCAGGGAGAAGGATAAAAGAATCTACATTTGTAGCTAGTAGACTGCTTCATCATACAGAAAAAAAAAGTAAGATTAAATAATGGAACAAGGAAAAAGCCTCTCAAGGAACATTGCTCTTATTAATTTAATTGGACTGTTGTCTTTTATTAAACTGACCAACATCCTAGAAACACAGTCACCAGTGGACACCTATCCTGGCTGGTCCAGGGTCTTTATTAGGAAGGCAAAAAACCCTAGTTTCAAAAGCTGTATCTTTTTTACCATCTTAAAAGTGAAGAGGAGGGCTGGGGATGTGGCTCAGTGGTAGAGCGCTTACCTAGCATGCATGAGGTCCTGGATTCAATTCCCAGCAGGGGGGGAGGGCATGAGAATAAGAAAAGATAAGGTGACCCGTCCCTGTTCTTTTATTGGCTACAGTATTTGGATTTGAGAACAAGTAGAAGAGATGAAACTATAGACTATCTGAGCTGGCACAAGATCCCATCCACCCAAAGACCCAAAAGGATTCAGGTGAATTCTAAGCCACGCCTCTGTTTTAATCCGAACCAAAGAACCATCATGAGCAGTCAGAGCAGCAGCCCAATACAGAGCAGCTGGAGGATGGTTCCATTTCCCCTGGCCAAAGCAGGTAGGCTAGGATGCCCCCTGACTCAGCTAATCTCCCACCCCAACTTCCTCTTCCCTTTCTGCCATGCAGAAAGTTCTGGGACCAAGCCAGAGCCAAATAACCTGTTGGGAGGGAAGTCACTGTCTACTCCCTTTCATGTCATGCACCCACAATGACCAAATGTTTTCCATCAGGCACCCAGCCCAGGCAAAGCCAGGTCCTGTGGCTTTAAAATGAAAAGCAGTGCTTTCTTCTGACTCTGAAGTGGATCTTGGAGACAGATCCTCAAGTTTTGACAACTGAGTAAGTTAAACTCATCTAAAGGGACAGATCCAATCCTCAAAGTCCAAATCTTCACCCTTTTCCAACTATTCGTCACTCTCTCTCTCTTTAGAAATCTCAAAAACATCCACCAACCTACTTATTAAAACAAGACTAACTGCCTTACTTCAGGATTATAGGTTTCGTGACAAAACTGGTCTTATAAATGCACTCAAAGTTCTATTATCATCTAATTACAATTTCTATACAGCTATATAATAATGTGCATGTTGTGGAAGCCAAAAAGAAAAAAAAAGAAGCTTTAATTACTTTTGTACCTACCATTAAAACAAGCAGAAACAGGACAACCTTCCATAAAGAATTTTTAAAAGAGAGAAAAAGAGAAGGATGCTGGAATCCCTTTACTTAGTGGTTTCCCATAGCTTCAATGAAGGTGAGAGGAGCCAGAGAAGATGCAGGCTGAACATATATGGTCATCCCCAGACTTTCTTACTATATAAAGGAGAAATTAATAAAAGAAGAAAAAAAGAAATACCACACAGCATTTTCTTTCCCCACCATAATTTTTCAATTTTCTTTAGAGAAATGCCAGCCAATAACTAATTAGAACCATATCCTTTGTTATCCCAATGGGAAGAAGTACACAAATGGTTTTAAAGAGCAAATGTTAATGAGAACTTTAAAAAAATGTAATCTGTAACTTTGGTTCCCTTCACTGTAAAAGAAAATTCCCTTCTTTAAAGCTATTTTTATGGTTGGTGAAATAGCATGAACAGAGCCCATCAAAAAAAAAGTTAAGTGTTCACCTACCCAGTGCCCTGAACTGGGGCTGCCCTGGCTTTTCACTGTTCTTAGGGTGAAATTAGCATCACAAACTCACAGATTTCTATGCACCCCATTTTAAACAAGAGAGACAAAAACTCAGTTACAAAAGAGGAATTCGTTTTACATCTCTTTGGTTTCAAGGAAGAAAAATAATTCCTTTCAAAGTGAATACACAGCTTTTGCAATTTCCAAGAGTATGTTTTTCATAAGAAACACAGCTGGAGCCTTTTTACCTGGTATACATCACTACGAATAAGAATGTTTCTGGGATCAGATCTTGAGCTGCCTATTCACCAATATCCAGAGGCAGAAACCACCTCCTTGAAAACTAGTCTGGTTTTGAACAACAAAGTAAATTCTAGGATATGAGTCAGAAAAACTCTGAGAAAAAAATAAATTTAGGGGGGTGAGAAATATAGCTCAGTGGTAGAACACATATTTAGCACATACAAGACTCCCAGGTTTGATTCCCAGCTAAACAAACAAAAATCTTTAAATAAAAATTTTAAGATGCTAACACATCACAGTTTAGGTACCTCCACACTATAAACTATATTTTCAAATGGGATCTCCATGTTCTCCAGATGCTTCATCCTGATGAAATTCAGCAGGTCCAGGCTAGGGCCACAGAACCTTCTCCCCGCCCCCCCCCCCATATAAAGGGACTAGCAGCTAGGGTAGAGAGAATCAAACATGGCCTATGTCATATCAAATATACCCATTTTTTTTGGGGGGGGAGCTTTAAGATTTCCAAAACATCTCAATGTATTCCATATTTTTACTATCCAACAATTTTATTTTCCCTTTTGTAAAAAACATAACAATAGACCTAGCTATGTAATATTTACCATTCCTTGTTTGTATTCAAAAGCCAGAAATCATTTATATTCCCCAATGAGGATATTATTTTAAACAGACTTCAGTCTACAACAGAAACTTGCTAGAACAATAAAAGTATTTTTTGATAAATCACTTTCTGAGCATTATTTCTCCCCAAAACAGTCATATACACAACCAAAGAAAACAAAGGATTCTCATATTTTGAAGCAAAAAGTACTAGCCATGCATATTCACACCCTATCAAGCATATAAATCAAATATGGGCAAAATAACCTAAAAAGTGGTCAAAAATGTGAAGTCTTGCTTCTCTGTGGTTAGTGAACCCATGTTTTTCCAATGTCAAATTTGCAAACTGCATTTGTTAAACTGTATTTCATACTTTAAATCTCAAGTCTGTACCTTAACACTGCTTTGGGATGGAAGATTTACTCGAGACATTTGGGGTCACAGTACAAGCCTTTTGCTCTCACTAAATCTAAATCATGCTTCTCAACAAGATTCTGTACACACATAAAAGAAACACATGGCATGCGTTACCATCCTCCCTAGAGGAAACTAAACGCCCCAGAATAGTCTCCCTCCTGTCCACCCCATAAACTGAGATTCTCCTCAGAAAGGGAAGGAGTGGGAATCCCTCTGCATCAGACACACTAATTAAGCAAGAGCACTCCAAAACTTTTTCTGTTACCATTCATTACAAAATGTCCTGAATTTGTTTTATTGAAATGGACATCTTCATCCAACAGATACACACAGGAACCCAAACTAATTCCAACAGCAAACTGGGAGGAACTAGAAGTTGACAGCAAAGTATGTATCTCCTGGAATCCTAGTTATCCCAGTCAAGCTGCATCTATGGGATCAGTTCTTCATTTAATTCCAAGTAGCCAAAACAACAGTGGCCCACCAAGAAACTAAGGGATCTGCAAGGACGGGACTGCTCCTGGGCCTGGAGATAGCTGGACAGCCAGACAATGAAAAGCTCCCCGGAGGCCACTAATTCAGCCCCGGGAAAGGGGGGAAAGTAGGGAAAAGGCAAGAGAAGAAAGCTCCCTTCTCACCCAAAACCACGGTTAGTGGCCGTCTCCCTGGGGCGATTAGTGGCCTGACCCCAGAATCGGCCTCCAGGTCCCTAGTGCTTTGGGAGGGGGCCCCAGGAAGGCAGGTTTCTCTGGAATAGAAAGGAAACTTCCTGGTTTGGGCATTATGGGTAGGGGGCTAGCGCTCTCCCCAACCCATTACAGGTATCCACCAGGAGTTAAGTGGTTGGGGGAAGGCCCCCTCCCTGCACTAATAGAAAGAGGTGGGGGGAAGTCACTGGGTAGCGACCCTAGAGAATAATCACCCTTTCGCGAGACTCCCAAAATGTGAGAAGGGGTCACAGTTTAAGCCAGGGTCCAGGGGGCTAAGGGGTGTCAAAACTTCCCATCGCGGGAGCAGCCTGACACTGGCACCTAAGAGTTGCCGCCAGCGCCCCAACCTAGGATCGGGGTGCGAGCTCAGATAGGGATAAGAGAGGAGGTGCGTGCCAAGATGGAGAAGGAGGGCAAGGGGACAGCAGAGTAGGGGCGGCGAGGACCGGGCTCCAGGGAGCGCGGGGGCTTCGAGGCCGGGGGCGCCAACAGGCCCGCGCCGCTCACCTTCCTGTGCTTCTCCTTGTAGGGCAGCGCCAACCACGGCATGTCCCGCACGAAGTCCTGCCACTGCCTCTGGTCCTGGTCCGAAGACACGAAGACGATCTCCAGGCGGCGCCGCGGTTCGGGTTCCGCGGCCGCTCCGGCCCCCGGCCCCGGCCCAGCCCCGGCCCCTGGCCCGGCCGCCGCGTCCCCCCGCAGGCGGCCGTAGAAGGCGGCCAGGCTGGCGCTGAGCTGCGCGCAGGGGGCGCTCAGGCTACAGCCGAAGTACAGCCCGAGCAGGGAGATGCCGTGGGCGCCAAGCGAGTGCACGTCCACCTCCTCGCCGCCGCCGGTCACCAGCTTCTCGCCAAGCAGTTCTTCCAGGAAGCCCGACATCCTGGCCCACCGCAGCCCCAGCACGCGGGCGGCGGGCGGGTAGACGGCTGCTACCCGGCTCCCTCGGTCCGCGCGGCGGGCGGGCGGAGGCGGTGGCAAAGGCGGCTGGCGCGGGTGAGAAGAGCTCCGCCCACCGGTCCGCCCACGCCACGCCCCTCCAGCCCACGCTCGCCACGCCCCCTCCGTGGCTGACCCAGGCTGCGGGGCACACTAGGCACAGTCTACCCAGGCTGGTCCCCAGCAGCTGGCGCCCAGGCGCCCCAGCAAGAGGTCGCGGGCTTAAAGCGCGTGGCCAAAGAAATCTGACCCGAAACGCTCCACCTTGACCTCAGTGCCTTGGGCCTAAGTGAAGACAGGAGAAGGGTCTGCTGAGCCGGAGCTTTCTGAGGCTGCAAACCAATATCGAACTGGACTTGGCCGCACTTTTGCCGGTATATCCTCTTCCCTCCCAATTCTAAGTTCTCTCCAGACTTCTCCAAAGGTGTCTCCCTCCCCGTCACCCTGTTCTGTACCCACTCCTTGTTCCTCCACCTCCTTCTCCTATCTCCCCACACAAAGCTTAACCCTAAGGGCACTTAGGACCCACTAACCTCTCATAAAACTTAAAGGATTTAGTGTCTTTGCCACACAATATCACTTTATCAGGCTAAGTCTTGCTCGGCAGTTATTTCTCTGTGTATATTTTGTATTCTCTATTATAACTGGACTAGAGGACACCATGTCTTCTATTTCTTGTGTGCCTGTGAAGTACGAGGCACACAAGAAAAAGAATTCATAAATACTAGTGAATTGATTGCAAGTCGTAGTGTGGGATTTCAGTCCACAGGTCGCTGAGACCATGTCCCATCAGCGAAAGGCTCTCTTCCATCTCCACAAACATGCAACAGATGCCGATCGCAGCATCTCTAAATCAATGCTGGCAGCTCTCCTGATTGGCTTCAAAACTTATATAAAGTCTGTTGATGGCTGAGAAACATTCTAAGGAATTTTTTCCTCAAATGGCAAATGTTCACGGATGTTTAGGGAGAAAGTTTTTCTCACCACTTTTTAAATTGGTTCATTATAGTGGCACATACTAATGGGATATGTTGTCGCATATTTGTACATGCACACATTACACAATATAACAAATTGGCCAATATAACTCCCCTCCACTTTCCCCCTCTGGCCCATCTTCCACCCCTTGGTCACCTTCCTCTACTGATCTTTAGGGTGAAACTTTATTAAACAGGTGGTCTGTTTAATAAAGTCTCCCAGGCTCCCAACCACCTCTACCCACAAACATGACAAAAATGTATTCCATGCCCACCCGCCAAAGAGGGCTTTGGTGTGACAGCAAAAGGAAACACACACACACACACACACACACACACACACACACACACACACACACACACAAATAATAAACTATCAGCCCTCCAGTGCTTTTAAAGTTATTTCTTGGGTATCTACCGCCATCTAATGGAAAGAGCGAGAAAAGAAAAAGTTCTACCAGCCCCAAGGTATGAAAAATGTTGCTGGGCAGGACCAAGCAGAACTCTTGTTGTTTACAAAGGTCCCCTCCCTGTCCCCTCACACGCAAACACGCACACATTCACACACACATCATAGCAGGTCTCAACAGGATATCATTTAAACCTCCCAACTTAACTGCAAGCTTTGACCCAAACATAAACTTTCGAGCCCTAAAGTTCTCAAATTTGTGAACAGTAGAATAAGGAATTATATAGATTATCAGCGCAGTGAAATATTATCACATAAACAATTAAGAAAGTGGAGATGTAGGACAACACCAGCCCAGCAATTTTTACAACTTACATATACTTTCTTAGTAACCACCTAAAGACTGCTCATAAGCTGGATCTTTAGACTGAGGACAGCCTTTAAGCAGGCAAGATCCCTATGACAAACGCAAATTTCATGTTAATTCTTAGGAAAAGTGTTATGCTTAAAATTCTGATACAAAGGCAGTATCATAATAGAACACACAGAAAACAACATTTTTAAATGAAAACATTTTAAACATAATAAAAGAATATATATTAAGTTTTCAAGTATCTTTTAAAATCCTTTTTTAAAAAAATTCTGTAAATGGGTTGAATGCTTTCTTCTCATCCAGCTCATATCTGAAATGCCCCTGGGTGGGTAGGTACATGGGTTAGGCATGACCCAAAGCATGTTAGACTGAAATTCCTACACTCTGACATTTTTACATGACACTAAAAAAAAAGTAAAGGTAAGCATTTACTTCCAATGGAAACCAAAAGACAAAGTATTTGGAGTGGAGGTAATGAATTGGAATTTGGGGGATTGCAAATTTGGGGAAATAGTGAAGTCATTATTAAAGTCCTTAACTTTGGTATCCTAGGTGCAAGCCTGGTATAAAGAGGCAGTTTGTTCAGCATTTTACTTTTATTATTTTACAGGAAAGCACTTTCCACTGGAGTGTTTCCAAACCAGCATCTGGCACCTGGAAAAGTGAGAGTTCGAACATACTGCACATGAAATATAAATAAAATTTGGAGAATTGTTGGTGCAGCAGGCCTTGGTTAGAAGCCAAATATCGCAGCTGCCTTTTAAAGGAGTGTCGAAAGAGGGGATTTGCAATGGAAATCAATCCAAAATCATAATTCTAGTGGGTGTTTGTTATAAGAAGAAGCCTAAGGAGACTCATTTGGCTCCCTATAAAGAATTAGCCAATGTCCTTTGGCCTGCGGAAAGCACTACTCTCTCTGCTGATGCAGTATAAGAGAGCCACTTAAAGAGATTGTCCCTACTGGTATTTAGCTAGTTGCGCTACAAAAAATTGAATGGTGAATATGCTATTCTTTTTAAAAGTATGTATTAAGGAACTACAATATACATGATATTATTAGGGTTTTTCTTTTCTTTTCTCTTTCTTTTTTTTTTTTTTTTTTTTTGTACTAGAGATTGAACTCAGTGGCACCTAACCACTGAGCAAAATCCCCAGCCCTTTTTAATTTTTATTTTGAGACACAGCCTCACTAAATTGCTGAGGCTGGCTTTGAACTTGTGATCCTCCTACCTCAGCCTCCTGAGCCACTGGGATTACAGGCATGCACCACCACACCAGCAAGAAAGAGATTTCTTATAAGGATTTGACTCATTATGTTATGGAGGGTGAGATGTCCCAAGACCTTCAGTCAGTCAGCTGGAGAGCCAGAAGAGCCAATGAACTCTAGACTGAGTTCAAAGGCCTGAGAGTCATGAAAGCCAATGGTGGAAGCTCTAGTCAGACTTCAAATCCAAAGGCAGGACATCCCACTCCAAAACAGTAAAAAGCAGAGAGAATAAGTTTTCCCATCCTTATCCTTTTTGTTCTATTCAGATTTCATGGATTGAATGAGACATACCCAGACTGGGGTGAGCAATGTGGTTTACTTGGTCTAGGAATTCAAAATATTAATCTCATCCATAAACATCCTCACTGTCACACACAGAATAAAGATTAGCTAAATATCTGGGTACTCCTAGCCCAGTCATATTGACATAAAATTTACCATTACAAGTGTGCCCCTTGTAAACTCAACACCCATATGTATTTGTTTAAACCATACCTCCAAATAATCTCCATAATTTCCAAATAAAGATAATAACAAAGTCATATTCTATCTAATATGATAAAACTACTCTACATGCAACCAAAAATATATTAACCTCTTCCCATAAAAAAGAGAGAGGGTTGTGGCTCAGGGGCTGGGGTTGTGGCTCAGCAATAGAGCGCTTGCCTAGCATGTGCCAGGCCCTGGGTTAGATCCTCAGCACCACATAAAAATAAATAAACAAAATAAAGGTATTGTGTCCAACTATAACTAAAAAATAAATATTTTAAAAAAGAGAAATTCCTTGAGTGATATTTAAAGTCTATATATATATATATATATATATATATATATATATATATATATATATATATATTTATATTGGTTTGTGTGTGTGTATGTGTATGGTTAGCACTGGGGATTGAATCCATAGGTGCTCTTCCACTGAACTACACACCAAGCCCTATTTATTTACAGATAGGGTCTGACTAAGTTGCTCTCAATCTCACTAAATTGCCAGGACTGGCCTTGAATTTACAATCTTCCTGCCTCAGCCTCCTGCTGGAAGGCTAGCCAGAATTATAAGCATGTATCATTATGCCTAGCTTAAAGATATTTTCTTTTTCTTTTTATTTATTTTTATGTGGTGCTCACACATACTAGGCAAGCACTCTGCCACTGAGCTACAGCTCCAACCCTTAAAACCAATACATTTTATGTTACATAATAAAGTAATGACAGAGAAAGAAGAAACAAAAATATTTTAAACACACACACAAACATAATAAAATAAAGAAGAAACATCCATGATAATTACAGTTCTTGTTTCTCTTAACTGATCATATGATGGCTGGTATTTATAGCCACCATCTTCATTACCCAATTTCTATTCCCTTTGCCTTCAAAAAGCACTTCAGCTGGCTGGGTCTTTACCTGGTGGAAGGACCCAAATCTTCATTCCCAAAAGGTCTGGGCCATTAATAGTCTTGTCTAGATTGGATCACTGTTTACCACTGACCTTAATCACAGGGCATGGTAATACCAAGAAACACCCTAAGGGATCTTCTGCATTCCAGACATCCTCTTCCTTTCAGCTACTATTGGGTATTGGTCCAATTTCAGGAACAATCACCCAGCCAGCACAATAACTCCCTTACTTACTTGCCTGTTGACTCAGAGTTGCCACAGGTCCAAAGAAGCCATGCAGAAGTCATAATTTCAAGTTTGGTGGAGATAGTTGAACCTCCTGGTAGAATCACTCCTCCTGGAACTAAGACCTGTAGGCCAGCAGAGCACAAAATTGTGGGAACAAGAAGCAAAATGTAGCTGGAGAGTTAGCTCAGTGGTATGGCACTTGCCTAGTATGTGCCAGGCTCTAGGTTCAATCCCTAATACCAAAAACAAGTAAAATTAACATTAAAAAAATTTTTAAAGGGGCTGGGATTGTGGCTCAGTGGTCAAGCGCTCGCCTAGCACAGGTAGGATCCGAATTCGATCCTCAGCACCATATAAAATAAAGGCATTGTGTTGTGTCCAT